CCGATACCTACCTCTCCAAACGTGGTAGTAGCAGTCTCTTCGAACGTCACAGACACAGTTCCAGATCCGGATCCGGTGCTTCCAGTGCCTGTACCTGCTCTTAGAAGTTCACAGCTGGGTATCGAGAATCACTAACTCACTTGTACCCCCAGTACCCAAGGCTCCGGTATGAATAGCGATCGCACTTCTTGCCGGGACTGAGGCAGTGAATGATCCTGCAGATACAGTGATCCTGTTCGAGTTATACATATAGGTTAAATTGTGAGTCCGCATTCATATGATATTATGAAAAACCCCACCCTGTCCCCGTACAATTTCCAGAGGAGCTGGTTCCGCTGATAACATCGCAATAACTACCAGCTGGCAAGGAAGTCGAGAAGGTTGCACTCCAAACCGTGTCGGCGTTGTTGATCGCGACGAATCCGAGGGTACCTACATAGTGGTGTTAACAACTCAGAATATTAAGGTTGCAAGGCCGAGGGAAGTGTTATACTGCCTACCTCTACCAAATGCAATTTGCTCAGACTGAGGAGAGACCCAGTCGTTCAATGCTGCTGAACCAACGTTGTTCTTGAATCCGACCATGCCAGAGACAGCTACCCAGCGATGCTGGCAAATCCATCCATCGGTCCCTCCAGTTCCGCTACATTCTCCAGTACCTGTAAACAAGTACATTCAAAATAAAGACCACAAGTTCAAAAAATTGATTCTTACCACCGTTCGGTGCTCCATCATCAGTTGTGGCAAATTCGTAACTGGACAAGATTGTGACTAACGTACTAGGGTTGGGTTGGGAAAGGAAAGAGAAAATAGAGGACACTCAACCGGTGTTTCCGAATGGATACGCAAGTGAGAATATCATTCCAGTGGTGTATGTATTGCTGGGAGATTCGTAGTTAAGCGAGCCTCCATTCTGTGGCAAACAAACATCAGGAGGTCAAAGAGGTCTCATGAATACGCATTCGCCAGCAACGTACTCGTTCCGTATCGTGATTGGTGACAAAAACATTAGCGTCTGAGGAATCAATCCAACCTACAAACAAGTCATGTCAATTCAGAATGAGCTTGGGGAGAGGTTCTCAAATCAGGTATTACCTTGGCTGGACAAGTTCTCGAGATTAGATATTCCACCACCTAAGAATGCGCTCTGCAGGGCGGTCGTGTAACGGAACCTAAATGTGATAAAACGGAGGAATCCTGGGCAAGGTTGGTTTCCACTTACTCTTGTACATTCCCTGCATGATATCGCGAAAGGTGAGAACGGTGGTATACCGCGAGAGAATTAAATGTAATTGACCTATTCCGGTGTAAAGTTCAGGAGTCACAGGCTGCCCTGATCCCCAGATGACTTCTTGAGTAAGATACAGAGAGACGTCGAACTGGGCAACGATCGCTTCGATATCCGCTGGCGCTATATCTGGAAAGAGTACTATGTTAGACGTCACCGATAGAAGGCCACATAAAGTGCCATACTTTTTGCAGCATCTAACCGTAAGCCGTCAATACCCAGTGACGCCATGTCATTTGCATATTCTGCGAGTCGACCTTGAACATAGGTGGTGTCCGTTGCAAGGCTTGGGAAAGATGTTCGTTGATTACAACAAAATCATTTCTTGCTACTTACTCAGCGAGTCCCTCCAGTTCGCAAGTCCACACCTCGACTTCATTATCGTAATTCACAATGGTGTTTCCGGGCTCTAAACCACAGTAATGGAAATCCTGATAAAACAATGATTCAGATTGTTGGCACTCCACAAGCAAGAAGAGACAGTGCTGACTTGCGCCTCATAAATCCCGGGATACACAAACTGTGTGTAGGTAGATCCGGCGACCCCGCTCCCCTCCGCGTTCCCAGTCATATGGTTGAAAATGGTGTCTGCATTATAGAATGTGCAAGTTGACGAAAGGCTCGAACCAAAAAGGCATGAACCAACGAACCTGCAATAACCAATACTCCCGCGGCGTGGCACGTCTCAATCATACTGAAATTCAGGAAACGATGCTCATCAGGTGTTCCTGCCTGCGTATGATTCAATCGCACAATACCTTTGAAACTGAGCTCTATCACCGCGCTTAGAGGTCAAGATGTAAGATACGGGCTGGTAATCAGTCCACCATTCTGTGCCGGTGATGTGCTCTTGCGGAGGGCTAGCTACATTGAAGCAATGAGTCAGAAAGGGACTTTATGCTCCATACTCGTTGGAGCAAATGACATACTTTGGACGTATCCATATCCTGCAGGGCCGAGAAAATCAGTACATTCTGCAGCGATACTACACCACCATGAATGAGTGATGAAAAATAGAACTCGGTGACTCCCTATACCTGTCCCAAGTCCACTCGAACATTTGGACAATCGTTGATTTGGAACCGACAGTTGCGCGAACGGTCAAAGCCTCGTCATTCGTTGGTTCGAGCCTGGGGTGAGCATAGCCTATCGACAACAGCAAAGGGAGTATTAGTGTAGGCCTGAGGAAGAACGCCATAGTGAAAAAGACAACGCAAGGTTAGACTACCGACCATGCTCGTCATCTCCCTTTTAAACATGGTGAACTCCACGTCGAAGGAACGCCAGAAATTCGACGTGACTGCCATAGTGTGGAATATCATTGATATTCTTCCATATGCTTGAAAAGATGGTTGGACGAAAATAATAATATATCTATTCATTCGATATATGAGTGTCATGCATGTGACAGCAGTGGCTCGCGACTCAAAGGTACAGGACAGCTCACCTCGGACTGGAGACTTTGCTAATCGGGCTGTCAACAGGTGGAAAACGCAGGAAGAACATCGAAAACAGAAATGCAAGTGATCGATATTCTCTTGACGATCCCGCCCACAGAAATTCTGAAGAAGGAAAACTCCACAGCACTTCATCAGTAGTTCACGCGAGATCTCGGAGTACCAGTACACTGGAAGAAGGGAACATCAGACGACCTCGAACCGGGGTTGGACCATGGACACACTCCATAAAAGGCGGGGGTAGAAATCATCGCTACCTCGAAAAGAGGATTATATCCGAGTTGTACCCCAGAGGTCTACTAGTAGAGGTAAAATCGAATGAAACATGTGAAATAACGATAACATTTTCGGATTCAAACCAAATGGTAGAAAACGGTGAAACGCTCATTGCGAAAGCCGACCTTCAAGCTTTCGACCCACGCTGGACAGGAGATTACACAAGGGTCTTGTGCCTTGAAGAAGACACCTGGCGAATATGATTTGGGTAATAAGCTAACATCTCAAGTTTTCCAACGAAATGACATAGATACGAGGGTGATTGTGAATTGATTATATGTTCATAGACTGGTACGAGATTCAGTCAATTTATGACGCGAGCTCGAGCAATCACTCACCATTACCAGTATTCGCGAACAGTCTGAACGTTGACATCGAACTTACCCTAACGCTCTCAATGCTGGCATCTAGGTGAAATCAATTCAGTGCCCTAGTCGAGCCAAGGACTACACCAAGATCAAGGAAAGCCGAAGGGAGATGATGGGTGAAAGAAAGACGCTATACGGCGCGGTGTAGTTGCATCACACAAGCTTCGTACTAGAATCTTTGACATCCGCAAAGTCTCTAGTTCGAACACCTCCCCGGACATATGGTCCTCGTGCCCAAATCAGCACCATAGGGAGTTATAGTGGGTAGTCTTCACCTAATCACTCGATTAGGTATGGACCGACTTGAATCTTGTCTTTTCTGCTACCAGCAGGTTCCCCACTGTTACAACGCATGCAGAGCTTGGTAAGATTCTCCCTTAAAAATGCAGTAATCACAGTTGTACACATACTACGCCTTTGTTCCCGATTCGTTTTTACAAAGCATGGAGGCGCTGGCAAGCCACACTTAGCGATCCTTGTCCGTATAAAGCACGATGGTTGTTGATCATAATGTCAATTGGGTATGTAAGCCACCCCGATGTCCAGTGGAGAAATGACAAGTCCATATGTAAGTGCAAGTAAAACTGTGGTCGCTAGCTGTTGCATTGATGTTCACTAGATCCTTGGCTACAGATGGTAAGATGAAGAACCGGAGTTGTGCTGAATGACGGGAAGACATATACTCGTATCCTATCCTATCCTCGTAACTCAAACACACTGCCCCTCTAGTCTCCTCTAGTGGCCTTTGTACTCAATAAGATAGAGAATTATTTTTAGCCGGTCGGTCATTAAGCCGTCGACGTATAAGAAGAATATTCAAGGCGCCACAGCACCAGTACCGCTACTACCGAAGCTTGACAATGCAGGGTATCAAAATCATCCTCATCACTGCAATCTTCTCACTCACCTCTGGCTCTCTCCTTGTCGCGCGTCAAACCACAGACACTTGCGACGCCTCCAATGCCTGCATATCATCCTCCGGCTGCACTGGAACATGTGCACCTGTTTCGTCCGGTGGAGGACCTGCGGTATGCCAGGATGTATGTGTGGTGAATGGTGAGGCTGTGAGCATCTTTTGTCCGGCATGTTATGCTGGAGATGCAGAGAGCACGGGGGCAGCATGTGCCATTGATACTAGTGCAAATTGTGTGCTCAGTGTGTAATTTGGCACAGGGACTAAGGAGTATGTTGGAGACATTGTATAGTGCAAGTGGCATAGTGCAAGTGGTGAGTGGTCAATTTTTCATGCAACAATCAAGACTGGATTGAAAATGCATAATCAATGTTACAGGGGAATGACATTCAATACCCTACATAAGCAAGGATTACAGAGCAAGTACATTGATGCAAAACCAGGAAACAATAAATGCAAAATAGCAATATGAAGAGTGTAATAAGTAGTAGTAGTGGTGCAATTATGGCTATGGACACAAAGACAAACTGTGTACTAAGAGGTCAATAAGAAAGCACCTATCATGAGAAGAAAATGCACAGACACTCCATAGAGACAGGGTGGCAAAGGACCTAGCAAGCAAAGAGAAGTGCATTTGGAAAATATGAACACAAGCAAAAAAAGAAATGCAAAGAGGAAATGGAAGAAACAAAATTAATTGGACACACTGGGAATTGAACCCAGCACCCCCCGCAAACTCATAAACCATGCTAAGCGGATGTGATAACCAACTACACCATGTGCCCTGTGTCCAAGGAAAACTATTCTGAGAGAAACCAGCAGAGCGGTCTTCTCAGAGGATAGGATGAGCGATTAGAGCAGGCGCTTAATTGCCTTTGAACTACACTCTCATTGTTGAAATTTGTCTCTTAGCTCTTTTGTGTGAACCCACTCTCTCTTCCCTCTGCTACTCTAGTGTCTAGTCTTTGGACAAAGGCACTCCAGGCTCAGCCAAACTGTGAACATTTGATGACTCACATACCATCTATGGAACATTGTTCTCATATTACAAACCACTATCTTACTACCGTGTTATCAATCTCACCATTGTGTACTATTACCATAGGACTACCAGTAGGATACATCGTATTGTACTTCCTTTCTCTCTCGCTATGTTTAGCTGTAACATGACATCATCTACCTTGGACTTGTATATAAGCCTGTAGTATTCACCTTGTTGAATCAAGCAGTCCTCTCTACTCCTTCATTGTTTGATCTGTGTGATCAGCTACAGTGCTGTGTGCACTCTATCTCTTACTGCCATTGCTGCTGAATATAACGTGACCAATTCTAACAGGTTATGGGCCCCGCCCTAACCTAAATAAACAGAGAAGAAATACAGTGCATACATTGATTTATGTCATTAAGGACTAACCCTCCTTGCAAAGCCAATAACCATCCAACCAAGCCAACTGCAGCTTGAGCTCATAGTGAGCACATTTTCAACAAAGACGACATCAAGGATCAATATCAAGATCCTAACAACAGCAAATACAGAGTTTGCGAAGACCAACCTTGTCCAAACAGATATGACAGAATAACAACTGGTCATATCCCCAGCTTTGGTGAACTTGTTAAGATCATGTACACCATGAAGCCATGCCAGAGGCCCCAAGGTGTCTAAGGGCGGAGGGTTGAATGGGACAGTAGTGAAGTTATTGACAACACTGCCATTACACTGCTAGTCCCTGGAGGTCAAGAGTAGAGAAGGAGAATGCCAAGTCAGAATGGCGGTAACGCCAATGACAAGGAGTGAACCAAAGGACTTATAAGTCCTGAGTTTAGAGTGAGAAGATCTTCAAGGCAATGAGCCTGAAGACTTAGAGAGAGAGAAGAGGACAGAGGTGATCTCAAGTTGATGAAGACAATCTAAGTGGAAGAGGGTAATCTAGGTTGTGTCATGCCCTACCCCGTATTCCTCTCATGTCCTAGCTCCCCAAGTGCACCCGTATCACCCTCTACTATGACCTCCTCTGTCTCCTTGTCAAGTCCATGCCGCGGGCCTCCATTCCGCCGCTCGGGATTCCGAAGATCCACTCCTTATTGTAATCTCTTCCTATTCAATAGTTCTTTCTCGCTACACATACCCTCTCGTTCTAGTCTCTCATTATTGTCTTTTACTCTTTCGTTCTAGTCTCTCCTTATTGTCTTTTACTCTACCCTGCAGGTACTACTCGTATAGCTCCTAGTAGTTAGTCTGGCGCTCCGCACCGATGCGCCGTTCCGTAGATATAAATACTGCCTGTACGCTACCGTAGTTCCTCAGTTTAATTATCAACTTAGATTCCCTCCTTAACTCGGTGCTCCTCTAAGTCTTCAGGCTCACTGCCTTGAAGTACTCTCTACTCTACCTTAGGACTTAAACGTTTTTTGGTTCGCTCCTCGTCACCGGCGATACCGCCGCTCCGACTTGGCTGCTTCTCAGCTCCTTCCTCCTATACTCTTGATCTCCGGGGACTAACGGCGTAACGGCGGTGTTGTTAATAACTTCACTACTGTCCCACTCGTCTTCCGCACTTAGACACTCTGTGACCTCTGGCACGGTTACACGGGTTGCATGATCTTAACAATCCTCCCCTCTATAACCCTCCCCATTATCCAAATGCCCAGAAGAAGGCTCCCCCGACGCGTGTTAAGCGTCCCCCGACACATGTATGGGACCTTCCTATTGCCAACTCCATTAGGTATTAATCTTGATTACCGCCTCATGTTTCCCCGGTTCTCCAATGTTCCCTTGTTCACTTCCCGTACCTATTTAAGTAGTCTCACAACGTTCCCAAGTCCCAGCTTGGTATATTTTGAACACACACCCTTTTACATAGGTCCAGTCCCTGTCCCTTTGTACCTGCTAACCTATACGGATTTCTCTTTACTCTCAGTTTCTCTCTACTCTTGTCCATTGTCTCTACAATCTAATATACACTTTTACTTCACATCTAAGCAATCCGGGTGAGTCTCTGAGCTCCCTCGAACAGTACTAAAGCTCCCCAACGCCTAAAGCCTTGGTGAGCTAACCTCCCCAAAACCTCCCCGAGCTCCCCCATTGCTCCACAAGCTTCAGGACCTCGATCTAGGTAACGTCGAAGCTACTTCCTATGTCGAACTACGTATCGCTTCTCCGTTACAACCTCCCACACTCGAGGACGTCCACCCTCAAGCCCAGTCCCCGGGAACCTACCCTCCCGGGTGTATACCTTCTCAGGAGCTTACATACTTGAGACCCCTTTCCACTATGACCTATTCAATCTTACGTTGACGTTCTAGCAAGTACAACTCCTACTACGCAACACTACTAGGTCCCATACTTCTACTTAACCTCCATACACCTTAGGGACCTCCCTGGACCTTATAGGAACCCCGTCAAGGGTCATATCTCTTCATCTCAGCCACTACTAGGTCATTCCTGTCCTTGGTCGCGGTTCCCGTAGCTCTCGTCGAGCTCCAGCCTGCTCCTAGCACGCTACAACATAAACCCTTTCATACCAAACCCTATCTTAAGACCTATTCTGACCCAGGTCTTACATTATACCAAGCTCTCCCGTCACCAAACGGACCCGTCGCGACAAAATGTCTGCGACGTCAACGGAACGACCTTCCAGTTCCAAACTCGAATCAAGGAAGCAAAAGAGTGCCTTATCTTGTGGAAACACGACACAAGCTCAAAAGTCAAACCAGGCCGCTAGCTCCGCCATTGTCACGGTGGCAGCTGGTCAACGCCTGATGTCCATCGCAGAACAGTCGTTCGGGGATGAGACCACTAGCAACGTAAGGACCCCCGAGGGACGTCAAACTGCGGTTCAGGAGCCCCCTCCAGTGGAACCTGGGATGGGACCACCACAAGGGAGGTATACCTCCATGGGTTATGCCCAACCTGCCAGTAGCCCCATGGGAGGTTTTGCCTACTCCCCTACCTGGGGAACGAGAGGACCTCCTCCTGGACCGGTACCGCAGCTAGACATGGAGTCAGCTTCAAACGTGGGTGGAAGAGTCAGCGGCCAAGTAGCCGCTATCGAAAGGATACAAGGGGAGAATACAAATCCTCTTACGATACAACAACAGGAGAAACTTCCGGAGAGGAGGGTATCACCTGCAGTTTCTGAACAATCTCGGGCGTCGTCCAGGAGGCTACCGACTCCTCCCGTACAGTCTCCTAAACCTCCTCCTTTGAGATGAGGAAGCTCACTCTCAGGTCTTTTGAAGAGTCCAGTTATGAATACGCCTAGCTGGGAGCGTACTCACGCACTTCATCATAGTAGGACCACCCTCCCAGTGCAACCATTGTCAGAGATGACGTTACGAATGGAAGATGTCATTAGAATCCAGGAGTGTCTCCCGGAGGACGTAGCTATAGTCTTACGACAGGTATTGGGGTTGATGGGGATCGAAATATTGGGAGAGGGTCTCGAATTTTCAGACCTACGGGTACAGTTCCTAACGGTGGGAACTCAACTGGAAATAGACCTCCCAGAGAAAGCGCAACAGTGGCTGATGACCCTGGCAAACCGATTGGACTTCCTCTGGTTGTACAACGTCCTACTGGACCCAGAGCGGGTGTTAGAATTGTTAGAGGCAGAGGCACACTACGGGCGATCGTCCCAAAACTCGAGGGGAATACTTCCCCTCCTCCCTCATACCTATGGAAGGGAGAAGGAATTCTGTGACGAGGAGGGGCTACGTATATGGTACCGAGCCTCTAGCTACAGATTAGGAGCCGTAAGATTTGAACCTCCCCCTTCGAGGGTTAATATTCCGAACTACCAGGCGTTCCAAATACTTCGGAATGCAAACCTAGCGGCGACAGCTGCGAAAATTGATGAAGAAAGCAGCAAGGAGGTCAACGCAATTGCTGCAAAAAATCATAGACGCAGGAGATACACCACAGCTCACCTCCTTTCCCCAGTGGAGTCAATGCCCGATCAGTATAGTCCTGTCTGGGTCCGTAGCGGACAAACGGTGTACACGTACATGCCCATGAGGCATATGCACCAACTTCTGGTGAGGAGTGAGGAGTCTGAAGCGATGTTGTGTTTGCAGGAGACCCGACACCGGACATTACTAGCGGAATCAGACACTCTGATGCTGTCGGAGGAACTTTCTGGATCAAATCTGGAAAGAGCCTTGGAATTCCGTCGCAGACTGGTCGCGGATAATCGGGGAACATCGTATATGGTCCAATGCGAACCAGTGAGTGTAGGGGAGTTCCCCTTGGAACAATTCAACCAGAAGGGACAGCTCCGTGGTTCTGATGGACGTTCCCTGGGGCAGAAGCATTCATCGCCCAGAAACAACGAGGTTCCTGAAGTCCATAACCCCGGTAATACGGCCACGAGGAGCCCTCAGTTACACTCGGGGACCTCCCCCACCGTACATGTGTTCACTCAAAATTCGACTCCTCCCCCCCAAGTTAACCTCCAGATGAAACCGGTAACTCCAGTCTCGACACAACGATACCAGTTCGGTGAGGTAAGGATGGATGGCGCGCAACATTCATCCCGGATCTCCGAACCCGATCTGACAGCTCGGCTGGTCCCCAACCCTGTACACGTTCCCCCAAAACGAAGCAATCCATCAGTCATACCCTATCAAGGGTCGATATCGATGCAGTCGCAGGCAGTGGGAGCGGAGAATCAAAGGGGTCCGAACCAACAAAGAGCGTTGGCAGTTCACAAGGAGGCGGTACTCCCACAGGAAGCTCCTTTTGGAACTTCCTTTGTCCTTGGAGCTCAAACGAACCAACCTGGCATGG